TACTTGGAACAAATTCTCAAAAAAACCATATTTGTAAAATGGCGTTGGCTGAATCATTTCGAAGACACACTGCTAGACTAGGTCCGTATTGCTATACGGGAATTTTGACAGTAATGAGAAGGGCAAAAAAATCCTTCGAGCTCGCCCACAGTAGGGCACGGTTGGATTTCAGTATTGGATGAGCATGCGATACAGAGACGCAGGGACGCTCAGGGAGCAAGCGGGAGATCTATAACCGCGCACAAACAGGATTGAGAGCACCAGTCGCAACACCAAGCGATATACGTGTAGGCATGATTCCTGCAAACGGTATGGTGCTTGGAGGGGCGTGGATTGGATTACAGCCAGAACAGCCCTGTCCGTCAATTGCTGTAGACTCAGGATGGGACCAGAGACGGAAAAGCCGCCTTGGCTGCGCTTCAACTCGCACCCCTCACGCGCCTACTGCTTACGGGGATCATAGCTAGTACATCACCGCTGTTACAATCCCAACTGTTAAGGGAGATTTTCATCTGGTAGGGCAGAGTTTCCTGCAATCGCACAACTAAAACCACTGCTACTTACTTTCGAACGAAACAAATAGCACCACCTAAGCGGTTGAGCACCTGGGTTCACTATACATGGGAATTAATCCTCCACTTGGGCACGTGCGCTTTATGAAAATTACACCAGTAGGGCATTCCATAGGCATTCTACCGTTATCACATTGCATAGACATTCGTCCGCAATAAAGAACTCACCTGCAGCCAGACTGGCGAGACATGTGTGACTTTATGTGACACCCATTTGGCCAAGTCATAACCTTTGTTATTCCACTAAATTTGAAATCGTTTGTCAAGGATATTGCAGAGAAAAAGAGAACTTACCGGTGTGACATAGACGAGAACAGGATTTTCGAACTTTCTCGGCGAGAAATCCACGGTTTCATGGCCTTTCAAGATCGACTGCTTTGAGATGCTTGACGGCGGATGGGAGAGTGGCAGTTCATTTTTCTGGGAAGGAAGTAATCAACAAATTTGATACATTCCACCTATTTAGCTCTGTTGTAGTAGCGAACCAACTAGGAGACGGGCGCTAACGCAGTTGGGAGAGACCTTTCCGCAGCCCTCTACATCCCTTCCCCATCCAGTCTCACAGGCAGCGCCCGCGTTCATTTGATGTTCCTACGCCCTCTTTAATCGTAGCTTTGTCGACAAGGTGGAGGATGTACTAATTTCGCAGCTCAAAAATACGAGAGGATGGCGCCACCCGCTTGTGAAGAGGATGCCGCCCCGCCCACCTGGCTGCCATAACTGCTTTGGCTTAGCCTTTAAAGGCTGAGCCCGCTTTCAAGAATAATGAGTTATGGAGCTCATATAATACGTGATCCAGTAGTGAAGAAAAAAGCAGAAAAAATCATGGAAAATGCCCTATATAGAACCCTATGCTGGCCAGGTGGGCGGGGCGGCCGACTCTTCACTAGCGAACGGCGCTATCCTCTCGCCTTTTTGAGATGCAAAACTAGTACATACTGCATGGAGGGCTATGGTATCCAGAGAAAGCGCGGGAACATCAAATGAACGTGGGCGTTGCCTTTAAGCTCATGTCGTCCCTGTAATACTCTCTGGGCAGCTCTGGTCGTCTGCGCTCTAGGCCCAATCCTCAGTCGGGGAGGGGACACAGAGGCGAGGTCGAGTGGTCCCCAACTACGTCAACGCCTTCAGGCGAAGGTAGAAAGCAAGCAAAGGTAACGAGCCACAATAGAAGGAGGGTGTAGCTCAGGGCATCCCAGGGACTAAGAATGCTGGTCGCTCGCCGAGCACTATTCCTAGCTAGTTGTCTCAGCATAGCACCATGGCGTCAGGTCATTCGGTCATGGTAGCCTATGCCTTATATCATTTATACCATATCTGAAAATTGTACAACCGATGAACAGATCTCGTTCATTTCACGTTGGACTACTGTCAGATCGTATTACGCAAAGATTCCAAGTAGGGAATGGCACTCGTTGTTCTTTAAAACTCAGAATTTACAGAAGTTTATAAGTTTCTGAAATCTTCAGATGAGACCGTAAATGACCAGTACAGTACTTAGGCTGCCATGACTCAATAGATTTGACGCCAAGATGCAAGTCAAGTCGACTAACTAGTTAAAGTTCGTGAGTGATACCTCGTCTCCGAAGTCTTGAAGTAGGCCCCCAGATAAACATCAAAGGCAGTTGGCACGACAATTCGGTACTCGGCCTAAAATGCTAGCAGGGCGCTATATAGTGGGGAAAATGGCGAAAGAACGGAGTGAAACGGTCAAAATCCTGCGAAGAAAAGCCTTCGTTCTTAGTGACTCAAAAATCAATTTCGGACGAGTTTCCATAGGCATCTTGCCAATAACGCTACCAAAGATAGGGCTGCATGTGTGGACTCATGTATCCATGCAGCACCGCGGCCGCTTTGTACCAATCCCTTCGTTTAAAATTTGCGCAGCAAATGAATCAATACGAGCGTCAGGGACGGTCGTCCATTTGTGGGCAGGCAGGCGTTAAGGGCGTTCGGGTCGCTAGTTATGGCTTGATAGGGTCCTTACAAGGGCACCTTCTTTGGGAAGGGCGCTGTGCAGCGCCTTTTCTAGGGCGCGGCATTCCAGGCCTCCAGGCGTATTAATCCTACTGCCAGGTGTATTAATCCTACTCGTCTTTGACGATTTATCGTGCAACTGCCTTCAAAAGGAGTAGGGACGATTGCTGGAGGGGCGGTTGTTGCCAGCGTCATTGGTGGAAGGCCTGTCCACACACCTCACTCAGCGATTTCACCGACGGCGATGCCGACAATCGCCCGCCCCTAGCAATCGTGCCCACTGCCTCTTAACAGAGTTGGACAGGGAAACAGTAAGAGCGCAAAAAAATTAATGAGCCGAAAAAAGAGTGAGAGAATGAATAACCAAGTGAAGAATGAAAAATGAAAATGGATCAATGCTAGGTCTAAAACAATCTACCTACTAAAACCATACCTCTTCTTCCTCCTGTTTTTGGACAGTGACCTTCTCTACCTCTTCCTTCTTTTTCTCCTTAAATCGAGAGAAACATAGGAACATTCCAGTTTTTCGAAATAAGTCAAGGATCACCTGTTTCTTCAACCGATCTGATTTTCCCTTTTGTTCAGACAACATAAGCAGAAGTAAGAAAACGCTAACTCGAAGCCATACCATCTGTACAGAGTAGTATGTTATTTCTAAAAGTTTTGAAGTTGTTTCTAGTGAAAGGTAGAAGACAGACCAACTGCTATTTCAACATAATTTTCTCTGATAAAGTTTATTTTCTATGAACATTATAACAAAGTAATCGAGCAACAATAACAACTCTTTCTCAGCCTATATAACACATGATTACTACAATTGAAGAGAGGAGCACAGAATACCTGCGGAAGACAATAAACCAAAAGCACTTATTGAGATCACTTTCCCTTGCGAGCAAATTTGTCATATCGAAGCCACCACTTGGTCCCAATCATTGTTGAAATCACGCTTGAACGTGGGGAATGACACCAGTGGATCTGGATGAATGTCTTGAAGGCGAATTCCAGCACGCTCCACCTGTAAAAATGAGACCAGCATGTACTCGAAATGGTCAACGGGGAGAGTCGGACAAGGTAACCGTAATGTTCGCGTCGTCGCGCGCGGCATATCGTGCGGCCATGCGAGGCGAAATTTTCCATGTGCTTCAGTTTGTGGGTTGAAGCAGCGTCACTAATACAATTTCATGCAGGACAAGATACCATAACCGACAATATCGGACTTTCCTGCTCTTTAACCCTTAAAATTCGAACGGGCAGGCAGGACAACGCGTCTGCCGAGAGGCCCACCTGCGCGGGATATTACTACTGCTTTGCCTTATACTTCGATGGACGTGGGGAACAAGGTGATTATAAAAAACAAAAATTATCGGTGAACTCACATGAGGCAATGGCGGTTTCGTCCATTCCTTATACCAGTCCCGAAAGTCGAAATTTCGAAAGTCGACACCGAACGTAATTGTTCCTAAATGTAGAGAAATTTCAGCGGTGACAAAAATGAAAACTAACGAGTAGTAATAGTAGTGGGAATTCACGCAAGAGAATCTACTGGGAGAATAGAAGATTCGAAGAACAGGTGAATTGGAGCATCGGACTGATTGATTCTTCGACTTTTCCAATGACAATCCTTCAGCGAGCATTCTCTTATTCTATCAAATCACACAATCAATACCCACACTTTCCTTTACGCACATTCTCCTAATCTCCGTTTCTCTAGTGTCGCCAATTACGAAGGACGCAACCAGGAAGACTGCAATATTGATCCAGCACTAGACTAGCCCGCCAGTTTCAACACACATTCTAGTAGGCAGCGTTCAGACTTCGCGACGGCAGTACTCGGTCGCGCGTTCGGCGCGATCGATGCGCATGCTTTCGACTGCATCGATCGCGTCGAACGCGCGACCGAAGCGCTGCCGTCGCGAAGTCTGAACGCTGCCGTAAGGAAAGTAGCTTTGCAGTGAGTGGAACCACTGCGGGTCCTGCTGTTGGGGGAAACTTTAAGGGTAAGTAGCACTTGAGAGAGGGGAAAAACGAGAAAAGCCTACAATTGAAATAATTTTTTTTGAAAGATCAGATTGGATCCCCCCTCAGTCGCTGCCCCCCTCAGTCGCTGGGAATACTCAACATTCTTCGTGTTCTGAATGAAACCCATTTATTTAACGCTGGAATATGCAAGGTAGTCCACCCCTTTACGGAAATTCCTTCCCCGCTCCCCCCTCCCTTTGGAAATTTACGAAGGTACTCTGGCGCCAACAAAAATCGCTTCCTCACTTCTTGTACCTCTTTATACGCAGTGGCTTAAAGTACGAAACAATTGTAAGAAAAAGCCAACAGACTGGAATCAAAACTAACCGTGTTCCTTCGCAGCAAGCAACTGGGCTCTGAGCAAAGCGTATTGCTCTTGACAAAGGCCACTTTTCAGAATAGCAATCGGCTGGTGAGTTCCATCAGAAAGAAACTGCTCGATCAAAGCAGGATTCCGGTAGTCAAAGAACAGGTACTCGTCACGACACACCTGTTAATAGATAGAAGTATACGGAGTGGTGCAGAAATACTAATGTACTAATATTTCGTCGGCATTTCGATGTTAAACTTCAAAAACTATTTCTAGCTGTGAAAAATATTGATTACAAGGTGATCTACAAATATTGGTAGTTGTCAAATTGATTGCCCTCATCTTTCACATCAGACGTGTAGCAGGCACTTGACATACGGACATACCGTCGATACATGAGCAAAAAGGTAAGTATTCTGACAACGGTTACGGTTGTATGCGGCGGTCCAGGCAGGAAAGAGGCAGAGATGCATATGTGAGTGAATCGGCACGGGAATACGCAGATGTCCGTAGCACCACCCCCTTCTGGCCCATATTGCAGACAATTAGAACCGATGACCAGTTTAGTTGTAGGATTTCGAAACCCGTGTTGCAGTCCGAATGGGGGCGTTTGGTCGTACTGATCAGGGCAAACAAATCGTACCTTGAGAACACCCAGCGATGCGGAAGGGGGGAGGGTGTCGTACTTGGCCGATGAAGCGGTATGGGGGTTGTATTTGCTGTTGAGAAAAATGTTTCCGGTTCTCGACTTGTCTCGATTTTTCCTTTTTCGTGTGCGCTATAATACCTCGCCCCGCCCTCGACGGCAGCTAGCAGTAGATTACAGCCAATTCGCATACCGAGAATGTAAAAGCAGTGGAGCAGTGGTTGAAAGTAAATGAAAAAAAACAGCTGATCACTGAAAAACGTATGGAAAATGCTTCAACTTTATAGCTGAATTACTTATGATTCGATGTGTTCATGGTCCCTGACCAAATTTTTAGTTGCTGCATGCTGAGCCCAAGAATTCTAAAAAATATAGTGAAACAAGAGCCACTTATAGGGAAAGTGAAGAAAGTCTGCCAAATTCAAAACGCAATCAACAGGTAGAAAAAAAAACTGACCGGACATGCATTATTTACATTGAATCGTCCATATCTGTCAATACAGAATAGCCGAGGAGGTGGTTGCAAAATCGACTGCCCCTAAACCAGTGGAAAATTACTGGTATGTTTTACATCACTATAAAAGGAAACAAACAGATCAGTGGCGATGACATGTACATGGCGGGTTCTGTGAACGGAATTCAACTAAGTGGTTACAATGCCACGAAGGTTTAGCGAGCAGATCGATCACTGTCGATGGGAAAGCAATTCAGCCGTAAAGCTGATCGTCGCGTTCTGGCGGGCGTTATTTTGGACTATTTCTTGCCCCGATGCCTGCCAGCAGACCAACACCAACGGACAGTGATCAGTTGCGGTAATATTGTTTAGCTAAATGTTTATTCAAAGTCGGAGTTAATCCGCTTTCGTCTGTTTACTGGTATTTTTTCAACCGCAATCGGTCTAACGGCTACCAACGATGTGGCAGTTGACAAGCTGATCAAGCAGTTATTACAGAAAGACTATCTAACGTTCTCAGACTCCTCTTGCTTACCCAGCCAAGGGAATGAAGATTTCGTTGCTTTTCAGAACAGAGCGCTAACACTGTGCAACAGCAGCTTCCGAAAATCTATACTGGATAACGTACTCCACGATTAAATTTCCGTGGAAGATCAAATGGCGATAATCTACAGCGGTACATCTAACAGTGCTCGCCCACGTTTCCCATCGAGAAAGCGATCACTTGGTGAGGAGCGTTACTTCCAAGTCGCGGCATCGCGTACTAGTTGAATGGCGAGATAGAGTCGACGCGCAGCGCTGCAGCATTGGTGGGTAGGGGGGGGGGTCTGTCGTTTGACGCGATCTATTGTGCCGAAAACGTGTCAAACCATGTCGTACGAACCGCCTCCCAGGGAGGGCAACTCGTCCAAACTTTTGAACCACAAGTTTTTCTCAAAAACTGATCAGTGGGATATGCCTTGGATGAGAAGTAGGAACACAACATGTAGTGCTTTGCTGCCACGCGGTGTTTTGTGTGTTGATTGTTGACTGTGGATGACGACTTGTATCAAGAACAAGTTTTATTTGCCGGATGCCTTGGATGCCTGCTCTTGACTAGAGTCCCACTATTGGACGACGAGGCCTGGCTCCTTGATTGCGACTACTTCTGAATGAATGAACCAACGAATGAACCATACCGGCTTGCCATCACTTCTTATACCATATTCTATCTTATCCCTCAAAGATACTTATCAATCATTGTACACAGCGCGTTACTGACAGATCATTTTACATATCAACAAACAAGTTAACAGTTGAAATGAAAGCCTAAAGAAATGAAATACCTGTAGCTATTGCTACACCACAGATGACACTTATGTTATTATACAGTCCGCCAATTACGAAGACCTCGCACATTAATGATTCGGACGAGTTGTCCAACATTGCTAATTAACTTGTCATTACTTGTCATCTCACGTCGGTGACCGCGCCAAACG